CTGGTGCCGGGCCGCCGTGGGGCCCAAGAGACGGTGCCGGCCAGAGGAGGGAGTTGCCTCTGCCCTGTGATACCTGCCTGAGCTGACAGGACACCTCTCCTGCCTCCACCTCAGCAATTTCCGCTCCAACTGGGAAACGGGCAGGCCCTGATACCTGCGCCTGTTGCACGGGGACGGCAGCTCATGCTGTGACGCGCCCTGCAGTCAGACCCGAGAGCCACGGCTGGAAGCATCTCCTGACCCTGGAGCTGGTGGGTCACGGCCTGGCTGGGGAGCGACCATGTAGCTCAGGGCTCTGGAATCCAGGGACCATTCTTGGGGCCTCTCAGATCTGCCCATACGTGTGCAAGGCCTTGCCTGGTGCAGTGAACCAGCAGCCCTGCCCCATGGCTCCGTGTTGGGGGGGAGCCTGAACGGGCTGTTTACTTTCCCCAGGTCTCCTATGAAGATGTGACTCAGCTGAAGCCGTTTGGGGTGCTGGAGAAGGCGCGAATCCCCCATTTCATGCAGGACCTGGAGCGGTACCGGAAGCAGCTTGAGCACATCATGGCCACCAACCGGCTGAATGAGGAGGAGCTAGAACAGCAGGTGCCGGACTGACAGGTGGGCAGGTCCCTGACCTCCCTGCCCCCGTGGCAGCGTCCTGCATCCCAGGCCACACGAGGGCAGTGTCTCGCCCGTCCAGGCTGGCGGGGGGGAGGGGGGCAGGGGGGTCCGTCTATTTATTGTTCATGTTGTGACTGTTCGGCAGCTCTGCCCTCCCTTGGAGGAGGCTGCTGGTTCAGAGCTTCCTCCCATCCATTCAGAATCGGGCTCTGCCAAGGGAGAGCTGGTTTTGGGTGGATTCCTGCAGGAGGGCAGGCCTTGCATGCCGCAGCCAGGGCAGGGAGGGAGGGGTAATGGCTAAGGTGCATGCAGGGCAGCTAGCGTGGGGGGGGAGGGAGGGCTACGCTGGGGGAAGGAAGGATGATGAAGGAAGATAAACAGCCACGTCCAAGCTGGGGAGAAGAAATGCTTCTATAGCAATCGCGGCGAGAGGTGGGTGCGCGGGAGCCTGTTAAAACCCGAGGAGGGAGCGGCGGGGCGTGGTAGAGCCAGGTGTCGAGAAGCGGAGCCGGAAGAGGCTGGAGCCCCACGTCTGTTCTAGTCTGTGGCGGTTCTTATGCCGCACCCCTCACTGGCGTACGGGGGCAGCGGGAAAGCCGCTCCGCGAGGACTGACTGCTCCAAGGAGGGAGGGGGCAACGGGCTATAAGTAAAGAGATCAGATGTAGGCTGCATGCCGGGCAGAGCCTCTGGCAGCGCAGCCCACGTGGCACCAGAACCACCAGGTGCTCGTGTCCCCCCCCCCGTCTGTGCATTGCCTGGTGAAACGCCTACGAAAGGTTTTACTCTCCCCAATAAAGACTTTTCCACTCGCATGGACGTGGGAGGTGTCAGTGAGGCTGGGGAAGCAGAGGGAAGGGGTCAGCCAAGCCCAGGAATTCCTGGCCGGAGATGAGGGGGTTGTTACGAATGGCCCCAGCCAGGTCAGTGGTAGTTCAGGTGGGCAGCCTTCCTCTATTGGGCACGTCAGACTCACTCGGCAGCACGACCTTTCCCAGACCTCACCTCTGGAGAACTGTTCTCTGCAGTCAGACCCTGAGCAAACCGCAGCGACCAGTCCCCTGGCTTAGATTCTCCTCTTTAATATATTTCCTCCAACAAGGCAGTTCCCAACAAACAGCCTTGCTTGAAAAGCTATTTACAGATACCCCGTCGTCACCATCCTCCCTCTTGTCGCGCAAGGCCCCGATTAGTGGAGCGCCCCGGCCGAGACCATCCAGAGAAGTCTCTGCAGGCCTTTCCCCTGGAACGGATGGAGGAGGGGGTGAGACAGAGCCCGCGATGGTCTTGGATTGGTTTAAATCGCATCCCTGATGAAGTAGCACGGTTGAGATGGTGGGTTAGTGCGAAACCATCCCACAGGGGGAGCTAGAAGCGCTTCATCTGGCGGCGCTCCTGCCGGCGCTGCTTCTTCTCATTCGGCTCCTGGGCGGCAGCGGAATTGTCGGCCGTGAGCCAGGGCCCCAGGACGTTCACCCACAGGAGATAGAGAGCCCGGCCTGGAGCCTGCAAAGCACAAGAGGCAGCAGAGTCACTGACTGTGAGCGGGAGCTCAGAAGCAGAACCGGAGACACAGCACCAGCAGAGGTGCACCTTGACATGCCAAAGCTGCAGGGGCTCGTCGCTTATCTAAGGGCCTAAAAATAGACCTGAGGCCTAAGCCGAGCCCTGACTTCTGTTTGAGAGCCCCCCAGACCAGAATCAGGCTTCCCCCCAGGCCAGGGAACCATGCGAGACAGGAGAGAACGTGGGCTGCCTCGTGTTAATGCTTGTTCAAGTCAGCCCGTTGCCGGGCAAGACTGCCAACACGTGGTTCAGGCACCAGGCCGCTCCGCTAACAGCCAGCCATTTATTACTAGTGGCTTCTGCCACCCCATCCCACCAGTGACCTATGTCGGTACCAGCCAGCTGGAGGGTTAATACAGGAAGGGCTGTTGCGATGGACATCTGCCTTGATTTTCAGGGGTGCTGAGTGCTCAGCTGCTCCTCAGTTCAGTTGGGGTTTCACCTGCACAGACATGGTGAAGCAAGTGCTCACAGGTCAGCCCGTCACCATCCACACGTAAAGTATCGCAGTGCACATCCCAGTGGGGAACAGCACTCTCTTCCGGAGACGGCTGGGGGAGGCCCAGAGATGTACCAAAAGCTGGCTCTAGGCTCGGATGGGAGGGTAAGAAATGAAGTGGAAATAAGGGAGAGTAATTCACCACTGAAACCATTTACCCAGGGCAGTGGTGCAGTCTCCCATCACTGGCCTTTTGCAAATCAAGCTCGATAGCGTTTTACAAAGTTCTGCTCTGGGAATTACGTTGGGGCAGGTCTCTGGCTGGTGCTCAACCCTTACAATGGTCCTTCCAGCTGAGGTTCAGGGCTGGCTGTGAATCAGGGCAGGGAGAAGACCAGGACTGCCCCAGCAACTTACCAAGAGCCAGAAGTACCAGACATAGAGGGAGAAGCAGCTGAGCACTTGGATGATGGCTGTCAGTAAGATCACATCCTTCAGGTGCCTGAGAGGGACAGGAAAGGCAACAGGTCAATTTCACTGGCCCACAGCCCGTTTCCTGTAACTGACCATCTGCAGTTGCAGCCTCTGGAGTTAACACTGCAATTCTGCTGCCACGACATGGCTCCTCTCAGCTCCGCCCCTGCTCTGCGCCTTGCAGCACGCCCGGGGGTAAATGGGCCCTTGTATGCACTCAGGCAGCAGGTCCTGCTCACCTGGACTCGCCTGGGTGTGGACACTCACTCTGCCATCCCCTGCTCCATATTGAGGTCGATCCCCCCGTCAGCCAGGCTGCCATCGTCCGCGAAAGACGCTTTTGCCATGGAGCTCATGGAGCGGTAACTGGCGCCATAGATCGCCACGCTGAACACGCACGCACCCTGCAACCAACAAGCCGCGGTCAGCCGTGAAAGCCACCCTTTTGGAAGGCCCCAACGTACAGGAGCAGAGCCCAGACCACTTCATACTGAGTTCTCGTCAGCTGGGTAAAATCCCCTCCCCCCCACACAGATCTCGTGCGTGTTCAGGGCACCAAGGCTTATGTACTGCCTTTCAGAGCAACCTGAGCGCTCAGAGTGGGCACCAGGCCCAAAACAGTGACTGCCAAACTCCGCGCTAACCCCAACAGGAGATGTAGGGGTTGCAATTTGAACACCCAGCAAAGATTCCTCACAGCCCCAGGGAGAAGCAGGCGGAAGGGTGAGAAAATGGAACAAATACCCCACCAGGTGCTACCCCCTTGCTTCCTCTGCCCTGCATGGGGGACAGAGATCAGGGACTTACCCAGGTCCAGAAGGAAGCTGTTGTGTAGAAGATCACCAGGTTCACAACTCCATAAATGGCCTGGAAGACAAGGGAAAAGAAGTCAGGCAGTGAATGGACGGGAAGGAACACATTAGGTCCAAGACAGCTTTGGGCCTTCTCCGAGTATGCTAGCACGAGAAATGGCCTGCGACACAGTGTGTCACCCCTCCCGCCCCCCGTTGCACCTTGCCTGCGTCTGAGATCTATTGCCCTGCCAGGCTGGAGAGGAAAGCTCCAGAGAGCTCCGTGGTGTCAGAAAGCTGAGGCTGGAACCAGACCGTTTCCAAAGCCAGGAAGTGGCGCAGGAGCATTTTTAAGAGTGGGGATCCTGAAATCCAGCCCCCCTATCGCTGTCCATCTCCTGTCCCAGCTGAAGCCAGGAGCAAAGCCCTGGTGTGTGGGGCTGGCAGCTGGGACCCCAGGCACAGGACCCGCAGCAGAGCCCCTGGCATGCAGGGCGGCAGAGGGGAAGCCAGGCATGTAGTGTTGGCAGCTGGGAGTCAGAGATAGTGCAGCACTCCCCCTGCTCCCCTAGTTCCCGCGCCTATGGAGTCAGGCAAGCCACAAGCCCGCAGAGCAGGAGTGTCAGTCTGACTGGGGTAACAGGTTTAGGGTGGAGAGCTCCTTGCTTTCCTAGTGCCAGTTCTAAGCTCCTTCAAACCTGGCCACAACTGCCTTTACTGTACACAATAGGCCAACACACGGGGTTACTCGCTGTCACTTGTACATTTCTCCTCCCCCAGAAGGCAGCCCAGGGTTGGGTCGGCTTGCCCCACTAACCCATTCCTGGAAGTGAAAACCATTCTGCTTCCACTGCAGAAGCTGCGTGGGGGCCAAGTGAGAAGGAGTGGCCAGCCAGAGAAGGGATCCCTTCCATCCCTACCAGGAGTCAGGGCTATCGGGCCCCACAAGAGGATGGGACAGAAGTGGCTTTGGGAGGGAAGCAGCTGCAGACAGGAATTCGTGGCCCGGGAAGACTGACGGAGACAGGCTCACACACTCACATTAGCACCCAGGATGATCCACAAGTAGAATTTCAGAGTCTCCTTGTTCTCTTCAAAAATCTGCTTTTTGCCTTTGGTTCCCACCTTCCCCTTTGGCTAGAAAAAGAGCGTAGCTGTTAGCACACACACCCTCCCCCTCCTCACACCTCGAGGCCCTGCCAGCCCACAGGCATTGGAGCCCAAAGGCAGCGCTGTTATAGAACGGTACGCAGCGTTAGCAGCCACCCCAGGAACTGAGTATGCTTTTCAGAGTGCTCCTTCGGCAACCCAGCCAGTGCTGGGCGAGTTCTCACACACATATAACTTGCTTGCAGGACTGGAAGGGTTTTGCCTGGGCTGTACAGTTGTGCTCCTCTATGCCAGGGTGGATTGGATTGTGTTTCCGAGACATTGTCATAGTAGCTTCCTGGGGGGGTTGTGAAAGGCACAGGAATGGCCTCTGCTTTCTCCACTTGTGTTTGGCAGCAGTCCGGAATCCAGCTTGGCCTGCTGGGCTCCCCGCAGACGAGTCCTTCCCGTTTATTCTGCGTTGGCCTGCAGACTCCGGGCACTGCCGTGTGCGTCTGACAACGGTCCGGGCCTGGGGCGGCCCCTGCCTGTGTTCCCCGCAGACGAGTCCTTCCCGTTTATTCTGCGTTGGCCTGCAGACTCCGGGCACTGCCGTGTGCGTCTGACAACGGTCCGGGCCTGGGGCGGCCCCT